CACCATAACAAAATAATAAAGACTGTTTATTCTGATTGATCATTTGTGTGACCCTAAGGGAGCTGGAATTTCATTTCTTTCACATCAGGGTTTGTCTGAAGAGGTGTTTTAATCCCTGTTACCATCTGAGCTGGTAAGATTGTTTTGAGAAGGAGTTCCTTGAACAGATGCAGGAGCAGGTGGATGTATCAGGTGCATGTCACAGTGGTTATTGGGGAGCTTAAATTTGCGCAGGCTTTAGGACCGCGGGATGAGCTGGATGAGAGGCAAAGTCTGCGCACCTCCACCATTTGTTGAAGTTGGGGGTTTGTCTTGAACCTGCCTTGTCTTGTCACTCCTGTCCCAGGTCTGGTGCTCCATGGATACAGCTCTGCTCCTCAGAGGACTGATGAATATGTGCGCTTTATTTATCTTTCTGTTTATTGGATATAATCCTTGTCGACTCTCATCACTTTGGTGAAATGCAATCGACTTCAAAGTTGAGGCAATGCTCAAAAATGTGGAAGCCAAGACAGCACTGGAGTAACTTCTGAGCGCTGTACCCCCCCTCTCCTTGTGCACTCTCCGGTATGAGGCTGTGGGGCAGAGCTACAGCTGCCCGGAGGAGGATGCTCTGCCTCTGGCTGCTGCTCCTGGGGTTCGCTCTTGTTACACTGGCGCTGTCGGATCTCTTCAACCGCGACAAAAGTCAAAGTCATCAGAATCCAGGACCTCCCCGCCGCCCCCTGCAGCGGTTCTCCAGTCCAATGGACCTGGAGGTCATCGTGGACTCCCGAGACCCTGCCTTAGAGCTCGGTGTCGATCTCGCCCCCCTAAAATCTTTGCAAGAAGACCAGCTTTTATTCGTGCCATCCACGCAGGGCACCAAGAGCCCGCCGCAGAAGAAGGGGAGTTACAAGGTGCTTCTGCCCGGAGCAAATAAGGACATCACTGCTCCGGCGCCTCCAACGCACGGTGAAATGGGCAAAGCAGTGCAGCTACACCTGGAAGGTTCGGAGAGGGAAGCGGAGCTGGCTGCAGTGCTGAAGTACGGGTTTAACGAGGTGGTCAGCGAGAGGATTTCACAGCATCGCAGGCTGCCTGAGACGCGCCACCCTGGGTGAGTGCACGGTACAGTGGCCAAAACGCACGACTGGAAAGAAACTGACCACATTTTGGCAGTTTCAAAGTTGGTGAAGTTGTTCTTTTGACAGTGTGTCTTTGTCTCCAACCTGACAGGTGCTTGGGGGAACAGTACAGTGAGTCACTTCCGTCTGCAAGTGTTGTTATCTGTTTTCATGACGAAGCCTGGTCCACGCTCCTGCGCACCGTGCACAGCGTCCTGGATACTGCAGCCAAACAGCATCTGCAGGAGGTTCTGCTGGTGGACGACCTGAGCCAGCACGGTACGTTTCTCCACCTATCCACATCCATCCATCCATCCATCCATCCATCCATCCATCCATCCATCCATCCATCCATCCATCCATCCATCCATCCATCCCACCTATGCTGACCACATGTTCTTGTCTTTGACACTGTGCACTTCTCAGGTCACCTGAAGACTGTGCTGAGTGAGTATGTGTCACATCTGGATCGGGTGCGTTTGATTCGCAGCACCAAGCGCCTGGGGGTGGGAGGGTGCCGTACTCTGGGTGCTGCCAGGGCTGCAGGGGAGGTGCTGGTGTTCATGGACTCCCACTGTGAATGCCAGAAAGGCTGGCTGGAACCACTGCTGGAGAGAGTGGCCCAGGACAGGTACTACTCATCCCAATTATCTCTAAGAATAACGAAGAATAATTAATATCTGGATAAACATTTGGCCAGAGACAATGCAACCAGCAGTTGTGTCCAAGCTCAGACTATTGTTTCTCCATTACTCTCTGCTGTTTGACAGAACCGCTTGTGAGAAGTGAGAAGATGGGGGGCTCAGACTTATAACTTGTCCTTACTCATTAGTAAAGCAGGGCTATACATGCGCTGTGTGTGTATCCAACCCTCAGCTCCCATGATTTGGCTCTAGTCTTGTGTCTCGGGCTGCCTGCAGCGCGGTTCTAATTAGACTAGGTAATTAGACTGAACTCTCCAGCCTGGAATCTGCAACCACTCAACTCTCTCAGCCACATGTTTGACCCTTCTCCCATTTCTTGCTCTCTTTCTTCCTCCCCTTGAATCTTTTCATTTCATTTCCTCTGAGCATCACATCACACATGGCCTCTTGGTAGAAATATTTCAAATAGCATATGTGGACCAGAACAGACCCCAATAAAGGACAGTTCATGGTTCTCAACTTGGCTTCTGTGACACAGCCTGAAACATGATCAAACATAGGCATTTGAAATGAAAGAACCACACACACACACACACACACACACACACACACACACACAAACACACTGATGACTCATGAGGAAATATTTTTCCCTTTCTTGGTACCTATCTCACTGCACACTGAATTTGAATAATAAGTGAGAATGTAGTCAAGGCAAAGAATTTTAAATGTCCTTATTCTTCCAAATGTTTGACCGACAGTGCCACACTTACTATTCACTGAGTCACTCTACCTGATTAATGTCAATAAAAAGACTCATTTGGATATAGAAATGGCTGTTTGATGTGGTGTCGCTCTGCAGGACCAAAGTGGTATCCCCCATCATGGATGTGATCGACTGGCAGACCTTTCAGTACAATGCCACCCAGTGGCCAGTTAGAGGAGTGTTTGACTGGAGACTTGACTTCCACTGGGAGTTAAACCTTCCACTGCAAGACAAGGACCCAGACTCAGCTGTGCAACCTTTACGGTGAGACAATATCATCTTGGCTGAACTTTTATGACATGGGTATATACCTAAAACAGCACATTTGAAGTAATGATGAGAAAAACCCCAAGAAGAAGTGGAAATTAAATCTATTTTTGTCCTTTTATGTTTATGGGAAATGTAGAAAATGTGTGTGAGTTGGCTGTGCTGTGATTCTTTTGTCCGTGAACAGTAAACTAGAGCTGTAGCACTCTGAAGTTCACATATTTATGATGCTGATTCTGACTGTGGCAGGACTCCAGCATTAGGAGGCGGAGTCGTGGCCATCGACAGACATTTCTTCCAAAGTGTTGGAGCCTACGACCCTGGGATGCTGTTGTGGGGGGCGGAACAAATCGAGCTTTCAATCAGGGTAAAGGAAAAGTGATTTATTATCAATTTTCCAGCTAAATCCTCCAGTTCACACGCTCTCGCAGAGCAGAGAGATGACAGACTGTCTTTGTTTTTCATCTTAAGTCACATACGGTATCTTAGTGATGGTTACCCCTGAGTGATTCAGCTGCCTTCTGTCAGGGCTTCAGGAATGTTGTGCTGGGACATGATGCCTTTTGCAAATGGAAATCTCAGGTTGAAGGTCTGGGAATGTCTTGGCCAGTCGACACATGCACAACTGTGAGAGCAAAAATACTTAGGGAGAATAAAAAGCCTTGGTGAAGTTTTTTCTTCCAAACCTCTGTCACTAAGTGTTTTACAGTAAAGGTCACACAAAAATAAAAGCTACAGGGTTGTAAACCTGTTTTAAGCATTAATGTTATCCTAGGTCTGGTCATGCGGGGGCTCCATGGAGGTAGTTCCCTGCTCTCGCGTAGCCCACCTCGACCATCACCACCTGCCGTACGTCTTCCCAGACCAGGAGCTGCTTCAGAGAAACAAGATCCGCATTGCAGACACCTGGATGGATGCGTACAGGAAGATTTTCTACAGGAGAGACACTCTGGCTCATTTCATCAGGCAGGTGTGTGTCTGTTTGTGGTGGTGGGGTCTGGGGGTCTGTTCAAAAGATTGGTTGGGGAGTGTGAAGGAAATTTAATCACATAAAATGTCTCTGTGCAGTCTGAGAGTCCTAACATCACAGAGCGTCTGCGGCTGAAGAGGAGTCTGGGCTGCAGGAACTTCCACTGGTACCTGACCGCAGTTTATCCGCAGCTCTACATCCCCCAGGACAGACCTGCACTGTCAGGCGAGGTAACACACACACACACACACACACACACACACACACACACACTGTATACTACTCAATGGTGGCATGACAGACTGATGTGTCATATTCGTGCCTGTTTGAAGCTGTATAATGTGGGCGCTGGCAGCTGTGCAGACTACCCTCGAGGGCAGGGACCACAAGGTGGGCCCATGAACATAGCACCGTGCAGTGGGACGGGCAGCCAGGTAACCATGACTACAGATTGTTCAGTAGTGAAAGTAGAAAGGAGACACACAGCGACACAGATGATCTCGTTTTCCGTCGCAGCACTGTGATCTAAACCTTGAGGGTGAAGTGCGATGGGGTGCGATGGGGCATTTGTGTTTGGACGCCAAGGGAGAGAGGGTGGTTCTCTCTCCCTGCCCCACCCACGGACCAACCACCAGCAGCGGACTCCAGTGGAAGTTCATAAAGGCAAGGCAGAGGGCAGAACCTGTTTTGTTTTATACTACATCTGAAGAGACTGATATGGTTGTGCAGGTCGTTTGCCTAACGCAGCATCTGTTTTCTGTTTCAGCTAAGCGGTCAACTCGTTCACCAGCACTCTCAGTTATGTCTGGAGGCTGTAATGGAAGGAGGGCACACGCAGAGCAGCACAAGAGAGGTCGACACCCACACCAACACAGGAGGTCTCTTCCTACGCGCTTGCACCCATCACCCCAGACAACAGTGGCACTTTGAGCAACTGGTGGCGCCTAAAGGTGCCTGATACACAAAGCACATAGACACTGGTGTGTTCGCAAGATGTGAATCATGGGCACATATTATCATATATTTACTATGCATAGTGGCATACAGAATGCCTTTAGTGAAATGGTGTAGAAAAATATACAAAATATAATTTTTTTGCTCCACTTTGCCACTCGGCTTCTTTGTTCCTGTTTTAAGGATTGCAAATAGCATTTATTGTGTTAAGTAATAAAAAAACAGATGATCTTTTAGTGATACCAAGTTTTAATATCTATTATTGTGTTGTATATTTAATCATATTCATTGTGAAAACCATGTAGAGAAAACTGTCTTAAATTATCAATTATCTTTTACTTCATTAAATGCTTTCATTAATTCATGTGTAAATGTTTTGATTATTTAGTCAACAGAATCACATTGAAAATTGCTGCGACTGTATGAATTGAGTACTGGGTCATGGCTGATCTGTCACATTGGGCATCATGGCCACTGTCCTACAAATCTAAGATGAGGCTGTAAGGAAAACAGTACTGGAAAAAAAAAATCAGTCAATAAAGTCCTGTTGTGAGAAGTTCCCCCAAATTTCCCTCACCTTGCCTACGGTAGACTTTAGTCGATTGAAAAGAGTTTGTTATTCTTCGAGACATAGAGAGAGTAAGGTTGCACTGGTGGTTAAAGTTTAATTCCATAAAACAAACAGGGTAATTAAGAACCTGTTACACACTCAGAAAAAGTGTTGCCAATTTTCTGGATGGTTCCTCAATTGTTGACAGGGATCAGGTAAAACCTAGTTAGATTAACAGTGAAAAAGAGTTGCCTATATCCTAGAGTCCAACAGTTACACTAGTTGATATGACAATTAAATCCAGAGGACAGTTATTATAGAGGAGGATGTGTATACATTTAAATGGTAAAAGTGAGGGCCACGATCTGCACAGAGCTTTTGGAGAGACTTACCAGATGAGTGGAAATCAAGCACACTGTACACACCCACACAGTCTTGAGAAGAGGTCAAATCAGGCAAATGTATAAATAAATAAATAAATAAATAAACACCTTTGGGGTGTAGGATCATTAGGATCATTACAGGATCAATTAAGCACTGATAAATGTTGGAATCTTTCTCATTGAATTTGGGAGCTATCGTTGCACTCTTTTACCATGTGTCTCTGACCAAATGAAAAAAATATTTTCTTACCATATCCACTGTCAACAGCAGAGGGAGCCTTCTGCTTTCATAATCTACAGCCCTGACTTATCACTTGTTAGTGTGATACACGAACACCCTCCCATTATGAGTTACTTATGAGAATATCCATTAAGATGTTCTCATGTAAACTTTCTATGGTTAGAGCTCACATAATTATGCTACACAGTGCTGATGTGTTAGGAGTGGATGTTGTCTATAAGAGGGAAACCTGTGATCAACTTCCACAAAACAGTGTCACCTGTTTCAGTGAAGACCCTGAGCTCGTCCTCAGTAACTCTCTCCTTGCCTCCAGGCACTGAGTGCTAATAACTGCCTATACTCTTCTTTAACCCGTGCTGCACTTAGTCCAGTCAAGTACACAGCACCTTTTCAATAAAAAACAGTCATATGGTATGTCTGCAGCTTCGAGGCATAGGTCAAAGACTTGGACAAACAACATGTTGTTGATTAGCATGTGTGCTCCCAGTTATGTAACTATCGGCTGCTGAGCTGCTGTAAAGGAAGAGCAACATCTCTCTGCTGTGGGTCTTCAGAGGACGGCAAGAGGTCACAGACTCCTCGCATGGCTGATTTCGCTGTGAAAAACAACATGTTTGCCAAGACACTTAAAGCTTACAGGACATACTGTAAGTATAATGTATAAGAAAGAAAAAGATAAAGCCAGTGGCAGGCCTGAGAGTTTAACCCTAATGTTGGGTTTGCAAGTGACCCCGGGCCCTTTTTAACAGCTTAAATGACTTTCATCAATTTACAAGAACTGATTATACATGATAAATATGATTTTGAACTGATGGCATGTTTCAGAAGTCCACTTCCAAAATGCTTTATTTCTTCCTGGTTGGATTTTTATAGAGCTGTAAAACATGGTTAAATAGGGTTTACTTTAATACTTTTTATACAGCACTCCCCCATCCCAAGTCACAAATATACAAACAACTGAGTACACCCCTGTGTTTTATCACTAAAATGTTCAGTGATTCAATGCAGTGTAATCGTACAATAATTATATTATTTTTAAGTTGGAGTGTGCTGTATTTTATCTTATGCATAATTAGAAACACACAGGCTAGACAGACTACATCAAAAATACTGAGTACAACCTCAATGCAACAAGTGTGAGTGCAGCTGTGACCACTGCAGCAAATTTGATTTCACCTGTGATTTTCAATTGAGGCTAATTGCACAAACAAACCACAGCTTCTTCAATTTTGGCCTGGGTTGTGTCAATGCAACATGACTCCACATGGTCAGGAACCGCCTGAACAACTAAGAGACCAGATTATATAAAGATGGGAAAGGGTACAAGAGCATCAGTAGGTTACTGAACATATGCTGAAACACAGTTGCAGCAATGGTTTGGAGGTATAAGAGGAAAACAATAACAGAAGCTCTGCATTGAAAACAGGTGTGTAAGTGCTTCTGACTTAGCACACGGAATTTCTGTGAGAATTGGTGTTTCAGTGACTGATCTGACTCTGAAGTCAACCTTTATAAACTTTGCCAATGAGCATGAACAGAGGCCTGATGAATATTGGCTGCACATTGTTTGGGCAGTTGAAACCAAAATAATTTTGTTTGGATCAGAAGGGGCCCAGCATGTTTGGTGTGGACCTGGCCAGGACCATCATAGTGACTGCACAGTGCTGACCATAAAACATGGAGAAGGGTGTGTGAGAGATATGTGGCTGCAAGAGTGAGATGTATTAGAAATGACATTTATAGATGGCACTGTGAATGCAAGAAGCTTGGCAGGAGAAGAAGTTTCCAACATGACAATGATCCAAAACACATTGCAAAAATCACACAAGAGTTTGTAAAGAAGAACAAAGTAAAACCTATGACCTGGCCAAGTATATCCCCCAACTTGAATCCATCAGATCACCTGTGGAGCATTTGAAAAGAATCACCTGTGGAAAAATGCCAGAAAATCTCTCTAGTATCCTCCTTGCCAAGGAGGATACTACATGTTATTTAACCATGTTAGCTAGCGTTAACTAGCAAGCTAACTCTGGCTTCTGTCTTCTATAGACTAGCAGTCAGCTAGCTAGCAGGAGTAAACATGAAATGGTTGATATTACAAAGTATGAGTATAATTTCAAGAACTGTCGCCCCTCAGTGAAAAGATCCTAGGTTTGAATTCTGGGCCTGGCGCCTTGCTGTGTGGAGTTCAATGACATGCACATTAGGTTAATTGTTAACTGCTCACTCTAATACCTCACCATGCTATGCCTTTATTTACCTTACAATACCATGACATTTTATGCCTTACTATACTGTGATGTTTTTATGACATTTTATGCCTAACTTTACTATGACTTTTTTTGAGCCCTAATATACTATGACGTTTTTTTTGTTTTTTTAAAGTTATTTTTTCGGGCAGTTGTTTGCCTTTATTCAGATAGGGACAGAGAGAGAGAGTGACAGGAAAGTTTGCGAGAGGGAGGGGATGACATGCAGCAAAGGGCCGTGGATTTTATTATTACTTTTATTCCATACTATACTATGAAATTTTTATGACATTTTATGGCTTACTATATTATGACGTTTTTTAATCGTTTTTATGCCTTTCTATACTATGAAGTTTTTTTTTTACGTTTTTGGCTTACTACTTACTACACTATGACTTTTTTATGCCTTACTATGGCTCCTATGACCTGGCTCCTTCCTGTTTGGAGTTCAATGACATGCACATAAATTCAATTGTTAACTGGTGACTCTAATACCCTACTATACTATGCCTTTATTTACCATACTATACTATGAAATTCTATGCCTTACTATACTATGACGTTTTTTGACGTTTTTTCCTTACTGTACTATGAGTTTTTATGCCTTACTATGTGATGCAGTATTTATGTGCTGGCTTGCTGGTACAATGGTCAGAACTGCTGTCTCTTAGTAAGAAGGTCCTAGGTTTGAATCCCGTACCTGATGCCTTCCAGTGTGGAGTTCAAAGACATGAATATTAGGTTAATTGTTAACTGCTCACTCTAGTACCTCACTATACTACGCCTTTATTTACCTTACTATACTATGTCGTTTTTTGATGTTATTGAGCCTTACTATACTATGACATTTTTATTACATTTCATGCCATACTATACTTAGTTTTTATTACTTAATATACTGTGACGTTTTTATGCCTTACTATACCTTGATGTTTTGTGGCGTTTTCATGCTTTATTATACTATGTCATTTTATGCCTTACTATACTATGATATGCATCGTTAGGGAGAATTCTTATAATCGGTGGTTGAGGTATGTCAGTGAAAAAAGTGCGTTGGAGCCCAGGATGTCTTATGCTGAAGATTTTTATTGAAACTTGATCAAGGAGAAAGGAGGAATCATCAATACAGACTTCTGTGCATGATGTCACCTCAATCCTGAAGAAAGAACCCCAGTGGGTAGTCTTTATGCAGGTCCAAAGATTACTATAGATAGCTTACGCCCCACATTCGATCAAATACCTAAAAGAAGATGAAGAAGAGGGATGTGTGAACATTCTATTGGTTCATTAACCATAAACAAGGAATCATGATTCACACACGCCCAGATGCTGATCTCAGGACACCAAGCCTTTTGTTACTGACCATGCAAGGTATTCTGTTATCAATTGTAGCACCAGCAATATCCACAGAAAACCACAGCTGGGGCTGTAAGATTTAATGCAGTAGCTGTGGCACTGTGACCTAGGGTGGTGGACACAGAAAATTCCCTCACATCTCACATCTTAATGTCTTAACTATACTATGATGCTTTTTGACATTTTTATGCCTTACTGTACTATGATATTTCTATGTCTTAGTAAAGCCTACTATGATGTTTTAATGGCTTACTATTCTATGACTTTTTCATGCCTTACTATACCATGACCTTGGTTTGGTTACAGCGAAGGTAACATATTGAATTCACTGATGGTATATGATATTTTTGCATTATTTGTAATATTTGAATTCTTACATATAGAGTCCTTAGTTTTTTAGTTATTCTGCATTTTTTTTTCTTTTTTTGGAAACAGTTTTCATTGTTTGCACCTATGGAGGCCTGCAAATACATCTCACCAACGTGTTATATTCCAACTACAACTGTCTTTTTCC